AACACTATAATCCATAAACCTAAATTTATATTTAACTGTCGATTGTCATTTACGCTTTATTCTTCTTACTAAATTTCATTTTTAAAATTTTCTTTTTTGAAAACATCATCATCTGGCGGATGTAAGAAGATGAACAGTTCAGATCTTTGATATCATATTTCAATATTTATGATTAAATGAAATATGAGTCGATGTCATATAGTTTGTAGAAACTTTATAAACATCAAGTAATATTTTCACTAACCGTAAAACTTTGAATATAATATCAATGATCCAAACCGTTCATCTTCCTGCATCCTCTAATAGATCATGTTTTCAAAAAAGAAAATCTGAAAAAACAAAATTTGATGAGAACAATGAAGCATAAATGTTAACAACAATCAAAGGTTAAATTTTGATCTATGATGTATATGATTATAGTGGCGAATTTCGAAGTTAAGCTCTTCATGAAAGTTGTAAAGCTTGTCATTACGAGCGTTTATATATATATATATATATATATATATATATATATATATTATGTTTTTTACACTTCTACATTAATTAAAAAAATATTAAATACTTTACTTAAATACATTTTTATTTTTTGGATGTGACAATATGGTATGTATATACTTATTTAGTATTATGTTTTTTATTTGATTATTTATTGGTTTAAAATATGTTTGTACTATACTTTCTGTTGTACCAAAGTCCTTACTGATTTTGTGCATCAACAAAATATATTTTCCTTAACGGGTAACAGGTTGAGTCATATTACCTGTTAATATTATCGGGTCAATTTCGGGTCGGGTCATTTTATCCGTTTATTTTAACGGGTGTTACACAACACTACCCGTTAAGATATCGGGTATGACACGAAAACGACACAAACACAAAAAACACGACACGAATGTCAGGTTTAATATGCTCACATTGGATCCAATTTAGGTGCACAGTCTTGTCGTACAGACCATCATAGGTGATTCCAACTCGTAGATGACTAGTGATTTATCGCACAGCTATCATGAGAGCATAGCATTGAGCATAACTATATTACACTCAGTCTTGTCGTACAGACCTTTGCAGTGGTTCCGACTCATGTGCAATGTAGTGTCGTATAGGTCACTTGCGGTAACTCCGGCTAAATTGACTAATGAGCTATGCATTCAGCCGTACAGACCTTTGCAGGCGTTCCGGCTAATATGTTATTTATCCATGAATTTATTTTCACCTAGTTACTTATTTTGTTTTATATTTTGGCATGTCATACTTATGAATATGGATATGTAAAGCATGATTTGAAAAAAAAAAAATATATATATATATATATATTTATTTATATTCCATTTCTGGGAAAGTTATACATGTTTTACGGCTAGGGGTTAGAGCATTTGATAAATGAAATGGTTTTGTAAAGCTTTATTTTTGTCCACTCACACTTTCTATTTTGCGCCCTTCCAGGTTTTAGATAAGCTTGTTCATTGGTGGCTCATGAGGATTGATTGGAGGTTCTGACAGACTATCACAAATGTAGAGCATCTTTGGGTGTCGTTTAATTAGTATTTGTTTCTGGACTAAACTTAGGCTACTCACGCTCTGATTGTGTATTCACACATACTCTAGCACTTGTCTTAACTAGTACTCTTATGAGTTGGTTTTCATTTATTCGTATTGTCTATTATCTTTATTACTTCTGCATTGTGCACATGACTACGTTACCCTCATATGATGGCCAGCATGCCCTGATTCGGGTCGGGGTGTGTCAAATCTAACACCAGATTTTTATTAAATTTTAATCTTCTTGAATGATTAAAGTTTAAAAACCCCACAGAATAATGGTGACTAGAGACCTATTTTGTTTTGGTATTTGGGACACTATTATAAAATCAAGAAGAAATCATACATTGAGTCAAATTAGAAGACTATATTTTAGATAAATGTATTTATAATTTTATCCGTCTGTTTGAAAGATGGGTCTCTCTTTCTCTCTCCTCTTTTTTCTTCGATACTTCTCTCGTTTTCTCTCCTCCTTCCTCTTCCAACCCCTTCTCTCCTCCTCTTTCTTCCTTCTCTCTTCTACTTCTTCTTCATACTTCTCTCTCTTCCTCTTCTTCCTCGTATTATTCCCTAGATTTATGAGAACGATTGAAATTTTTGTTTTGGTTTTATATTTTAGTATCTTTTGAAAGTATTTGATTTTGAAGTTTTGATGAATTGGATGCATGAATTTTAAAACTGATCTTGCAAAATTACTGGAAATTTAAAGCTAATCTTCCTAAAACTAGTTTTTACATACCTAAAATCAATTTGAAGTTTTATAGATGGTGTCAGTTTGTAGTTTTGGATTTGATTAAGTAGCGAGTCTATTGGGGGCATGGTTGAAATTTTAAATGTTTGGTTTGCATATTTTAGGCAGATTTGTTGAGGTTTAGACTTTTGTCTTTCTTTAAAATGATTCTTATTACATTCCGATATCCTTACCATACATTACATAACCATTTAGTAGACAAAAAAAACTGATAAAAATTTTTCTGAGGGCCGTCAGGAAACCTTGATATCACATGATTCACATGTATAATTGCTGATTGAATTATGGACAAATTGTTTTCTTTTTCTTTTGAAAAAAGGGAGAAAAAAAGAAGCGGAAACCATTAAATTATGATTACATTTTTACAAAGACCAAGCAATAACATTATCCCACCCACACCATCAGCCAACCATCCCCTACCCCAATTTCCCAAACCACGAAAGGTAAAATGACCATTGCAGCCCTGGAAATAATGATATTGACGGCCGCCTCCTCTCAAATCTTATGCAGCTTCTCCGCCTTCACAACCGGGTTGGCCTTGGCGATCTGCTCCTTCCCCATCCCTCTGAAATCGAACCCGCACGCGTGCTGCTCCGGGTACCTGTGGGTCCCACAGAACGTCATCCCGCACCTGCACTTAAACCCCGTCAACCCCACGCGCCGTCGGCACGTCGTGCACCTGTTCGCCTGCGCCCCCGCCGACGGCGCGGCCTCCTTCTCCTCTTCCTCCTTGGCTTCGACCACGCGCTCCACCCGTGCCTTGTGCGCGGGTGAGACGGAGATCAGCGGGGACGAAAACGGACGAGAGGGAGAGGGAGAGGAGGAGGAGGAAGGAGAAGCGAAAGAGGAAGAGGAGATGAGAGTTTGGTTGAGAGCGACCGCCTGTTGTTCCTTGAGCTGCAAGTCACGGTAGCATTTGGAACACAAGTTCTGCGTCGTCGGGCTTCCGAAGAAACCGCAGTTGTTGACGCATAGCTGCTGTGCCTGGCAACGATGCTCTTCCGCCATTACGATCTCAATTTTCTGCAATTCCAAAACAAATTATTCGAAAATTTCCGGAACCATATATGCGAATCCGATCAAAATCTCGACAAATCAGACAAATTTTGCCCCAAACCAAACAGATCCAAATAACAACACAACCAAAATACCTGTTTGGAAATCGAATTAAGAAGATGATCGCAGAATCACAATTTCTGGGAAGAACAAACCGAAAGGAGGGAAAAAAGAAAAACCAGGAGGTCCCTTGGCGATTGGGATTCCTGGTCCTCAAGGGAAACAAGATTCCAGAGAGCTTTCCTCTCCTTTTTCTCTCTCTTTTTCTCTCTCTCTTTTTTTTATTTTTTTTTTCTCTTATTAAAATGCGCGTAAAATGGACAGAAGAGGGGGATTTTATTGAGGCTGTTCAAATTTTGAAATAATTAAATTGGTCATCTTCTGGAAGTCGTTTCGGCCACGGCAGGGATTTTGGATATTTAATTCGCCTCTCCAATTTGGACCGGCTCGGTTTGCCGATCCGGGGCCGCTCGTATCGTTTTCATGTGGGCCTCCCCTTCGTGCGGGTGTTGGAGTGGGTCCCCGGTTTTAATTTTTTTAAATCCGGCTGTTGCTGGCCATTGAAAGGTACAAGTCTACGTCTGGTTGCATTTTTTATCACCGTCCTGTTAATTACTATTAGATGAATTTGAATTTTGAGATTCGTGTAGTGGATAAACATAAAATTCAAACTCATCTAACGATGATAAATAAGATGGTGAGTATATACCATATTAAATGATGGTGAGCAAAAATACACTCGAACACCAACACGTGTTGTTATTAATTATTATCGGGGTAGTGCTATTCGCACATCTTTTCTTACTTCTTACACGTTCTTTTTAATTTTTAATCGTCGGTGTTGAACAAAAATATATATATATATATATATATATATAAAATAAAAGAATATAAAAAAAAATATAAAAGAAGTTTGCATCAAACAAACTTCTCAAAAGAAAGGTATTGCCCACGTGAAGTTTTGTTTAGACTTGGAAATCCAAGTCGACAAAGATAAGAAACAGGAACCAAAAATAAAAGAAAAGAAGACACGTATTTCTTCCTACAAAAGGGGGAAGTAACGTGGAGCAAGATTTCCTATTTTTCTCTGCAAGACGTGGAAGGTTACACAGTTAGTGGGAGAGGTTAAGAGAAAGTGAGGCCTCTATCTTCCCCACGTAAAAGCTCCAGAGACTCCCTATGATGCCTATAAGAGCAACTCCAGCGGATGCTGGTTGCTTGGGCGACAGGGGAGGAGAAAGGGCCTGAGGGCCGGTGGGAGCAGCTCCAGCGGGGAAGGGCCCGAGTGAGGGTGGGAGCCCGAGCGAAGGGGAGGTGGGGAGTCGACGGGCCTGTGGCCCGAGGGCTTTGCAATATTTTATGTTTTTTGTGTCAGAGAGAGAGAGAAAGAGTGTTTTTTGGGTTAGAGAGAGAGGATTTTTTATTATTTAAACAAACAAAAAAATTATTATTTTAATTGCTTATTGCCAGGGGGAGGGTTCCAAGGGTGGAGATGTAAATGGCAATTACTGTTCATTAATAGTAGTTACTATTCATTTAAGGCAGTTACTGTTTAATAGGGTGGATTGAATAGTGGATTGCCAGGGGAAGGCTCCATGGGTGGAATTGCTCTAAATAGGCATCAGTCGCAGTAAAAAATGGGAAGACGGAAACAAGAGGAGAGACTCTGCAGAAATTGAGAGACGACGTTAAAAAACGGACGACAAAGAAGAACAAAGCAAGAAAGCAAGGGGAAAACCAACAAAGCATTCAAAAGGTAAAAATCCAGCATTCTTAAAAATTTTCTTCGTTTGGTATCTCTCGGTCTCTCGCAGGGAATAAAGAAGCACTTTGCTTCTTCAACCTATCCCATTCCCCAACGTCTTCCCAAAATTGTAGCCCAACAAACCGCAACGAAACCACCACTTCTATTTGCTGCCATTGTGACACCCAATGAAGATTTCAGCAAAATGCAGTGATTGGATCCAACCAAAAGAAAGAAACAATTGCTTGGGTGTCCAAAGAGGTTTCGAAACCGGTTCATTCGTCGTCAACCCACCGTGCCCAACGATGGTTTCAAGAACGCAAAGATGGACGCAATTGCAACAACCTCCCCATTTCCATGGGTCACAAGCAGCGGAAGATAGCCATGCCATGATCTCTGCCCAGTAAGTTCGTCCACGCCAAGAAGAAGAAAAAAAATGAGCAGTTTGTGCCGCTACAGTTAGTCCCATGAATTTCTTCGGGGTGGTTTAAACCACCCCGTGAAGTTCCAATCAAACCTGAAAGAGAAGGAAAAATAGAGATTGTAAAGTCTACAAAAAGAAAGCTACGGTAGGGAATAAAAAAAAGGGAAGTTGTCTTCAAAGTTGCTGGGAAATTTGACACAAAACACAAAGAAAAGATGAGATGGAAATGGATTGATAGAAGCTCCAAATCAAAAGTAAAGGAAATAAGTAAGTTTTCATCAAGAAACGTTTTGTGCAGTACTCGACATGACGATACTATAGCACTCTCTGCTTCTAGAAAAATTGAAGAAGTCTTCTGCTTGAGAAATGTGAAGAAAAACAGCAAGATGGGCGACTGCTTTTATTCCAATTTCATGTATGTTTCTCTGCACAAGGAAGGAAAAGTTTGTACAATGAGTTTAAAAACTCTAAAGGAAGAAAAGTGTTCCAGATACCTTTATAAAGCTAAGTATGACTTGGTTTTTTCCTGATGCCACGTGAAGACCTGCTTGGACCTAGAAATCCAAATCCACAAAGAAAAAAAAACGGAAGGCCTGCACCTCATGTGAAGAAGAACAGAGATTGTTGAAATTTGGAAGATTTAAAGTTATAAAAAAGTGAAGCTTGTTGTCAGTCAAATGGTTTCAAAGTCTCATTTTAAATGGGGATGAAAGTTCAAAGGAAAAATATATATAAAAAGAGGAAGAAAGGGAAATGCAACAAGACAAGGCATCATCAAGTTTCTTTATAAAAAATGTGGAGGTGGTCCTCGTTTCCTGATAACACGGGGAGTCCTACTTAGACTTGTGAAGTTCAAAATCTTCAAAGAAAAGAAAGTGAACTCGCTGACAAGCTGAACTTGGAAGAGTCACATAAAACAAGGTAGGAGATAGTAAAAACTTGTTGTTAGAAGGCTTGGAACAAATGGGTTCAAAGTTCCATTTTTTTAAGGGAATTTTAACGAAAAGCACCCGGTACTGTTCACTTTAACGAAAAACCACATTTTTACACTAAAAAGTCAATCATGGTACTATTCATTTTACCCTTTATTTTGTCCTTATCATTAAAACTCAAAGTTTTCAAGCCATTTTCATTAGTTTTTTTTTTTTTTAATGGGGCTGAAAATTCAAAATGCCAAAAAGAAATTCTCTAAATGGGTTTAACCTATGCATCTCACGTGGGATAGACTTGGAGTCCCACTTTCTAATCAAGGGAAAGGTAAATCTCATTCCACTTTGAACTGAGCACCTCACGTGGAGTTTGCTCACGTGGAGGGGAAGAGTAGTTGTTGAACTTTCAAGTCCTATTGGAACTTGGAAGCTTTAAAAGTCACATTAAAAAAAAAAAAAAAAAAAGTAAAGTTGCTATCAGAAATTTGGAGTCCCACTTTGTCTTCAAGTCCTGAAAAGACAAATCAAAGTCTTATTTCACGACGAAGTTCATATACATGGGTTTTTAATAAATCCATTTGGCTTCTCATTTTGCCAAATTTTGAACACAAGTCTACAAATCCAAATCAAATACATTATGAACTACGCCGGTTTGATTCCGTTAAGGATACGTAGGCAGTCTAATATCAAAATTTTAGACGCAACCGTGAAACCGAAACGAATCCCTGGTTTATATAAACTAAATTCACTCCTACTATCAAATACCAAAATGGCACGAAGCCGAAGAAAAGTTTCAAAGGGCACAAAGCCGTATCAAATCCCGAGTGGCACGAAGCCGAAGAAAAGTCTCAAATGGCATGAAGCCATATCAAATTTTCAAATGCTGGCATGAGCCTCGCCTGCATGAGCTAATGAGCTCAAACTGCACAAGGCATTAATGCTCCTTGCCTGCACGAACTGAAACTGCACAAGGCATCCAAACCCAAATACCAAAGAACTACGAGTGACTTGATCCCTCAACGAGGGTACGTAGGCAATCTAGGGTTCTACCTAGATGCAATCACAAAATCAAATAAACACCCAAATCCTCAAGTTACATTTTATTCGAATTGGAATCAAAGGGTATTCCTTTCCCAAAAGAAGGGTTGTAATTAATAGGCGCGTAGCCTAGAATGAGTCGAACTCGAATTAATAAAACCCTCTTCGGAAAAAATGAACGAGGCTGAAATTGTGTCGAGTGAATTATTTGTTTACATATTATGTACAATTTTGCTCAACAGTCGGATTAAATAAATTAAATAAGATCAATGGTCAATAGCACTTTCCGTTATTTAATCATTAATTGTTATTTATTACATGCTAGCCTTTTCTTTCACACAAAATCATTAGTTGTCATTTCTTAGATATTATGGCGCGTTTACTAATCCGTAATCAAATTGTGAGGAATTGAATTGAGGAGGAATTGAATTAAGGAAGAAATGAAATGAGACGGAATCAGAATCAGATTCCTGTTGAAGTTGTTTACTAAAACTGTCTGGAATCGGAATAGAATTCCATACAACTATTTACTAATTCAGCAGAATTGGAATATAAGCCAGTATGATTACTAAAATGCCCTTGCTCCAAGTAATGTAAATACTAAATTGTCCTTGTTGAAAATAAATGATTTTTATGCTATAATTATTGAAAATTAAGTTTATTTATATAAAATTAAATTTAACTTTACAAACTTGATCTTTTCTTCCCCCCATCCTCTTATCCCCATCTTTCCTTCACCTTCTTCCAGAGCACCCCCGGTCGATCTCCCATGCCTCTCCGTTTCCTCTCATCCTCATATTTTCTTCACCTTCTTCCAGAGCACCCCCAATTGATCTCCAATTTACTGATTTGAAGATTTTTCCCGAAATAGGGTTTTAGGTTTTAGGGTTTTGGGGGTTAGTAGTACGAGAAGATGGGAAACAGGTCAACATTGGCAGGCATGGAGGTCCCAATCATCGGCAGCGATTCATTGAAATGGATTGAGATCTCTGCTCCTCTTTCTGACGCCTTCGTTGATGCTGATATTCCTGCTGCTACTACTTGTGTCCCTCCTCTTACAAACGATATCGCCTCTGCGGTCGCTCTCATCCCCATCTTTTCTTCATCAACTTCCAGAGCACCCCCTGTCTTCCACACCTCTTCGTTTCATCCTTGCTGCCTTCTTCTTTCCCAGCTCGCACAACCCTTCCCACCACCCATCATACTCACAGGACCTCCACGTTACCCAATCCTCCATATCCTCTTCTTCCCCAGCCCCCACAACCTCCCATATTCACAGATCCTCCCACTGCTTCCCATATTCACATGTCCTCCCACCACCCCTGCCACTTCCCAATTTGGGTGGATTTGCAGAAGACGAATTGAGAGGGTAATTTAAGAACAAAAGTCTGATTCCTGGAGGACAGCAATACAAGGAATTCAATTACCACCTGTTACTAGAGAATCCGACTCCCGAAAATTCCGGAGTGTGATTCCAGAATTCAATTGGGTCCCACATGATTTTTGATTCCTCTCACATTAGTAAACACCGGTGTAATCCGTAATCGGAATTCAATTCCGTTTCTTGATTTCCATTACCCTTACGTAAACGCGCCCCTAGTCTCTTACTTTGGCTTCACTATACTTTCTTGGATTAGACAGGACTAACTCTTGATGTAGTCCAGTGTTTGTTTCACGCAGGGACTACGTTTAATAAGACTCGCCTAGACTAAGTCCAACTAAAAGCTGCTCTAAATGATTCAAAAGTTACCAGGAACACAATGGCGAAGCCACCCACAAGGCTAAGGTGGGCTATAGCCCATGGAGGTTTTCTGTAAGGGTAGTGCTATTCATGCAATCATTTTACTTCTCACACACTTATCTTAATTTTCAACTGTCGGATAGAGTGAATTGAAGATGGTCAATGGCAAAAAATTAATAAGGGTGTGTTGGAGGTAAAAATGAGTGTGAATAACACTATTCTTTTGTAATCTCATGCTTATAGGCCATTCAATTTCAATACAGGTTATTATTTAATGTAAATTTAGTAGAGGATAGGTAATAAATAATAAGTTTGAGGTGTGTTATCTACACATCCCTTTTTACTTCTCACACACCCTCTTAATTTCTGGCTATCGGATCTAATGAATTGAAGAAGATAAAAGGACATAAATTAATGAGGGGTGTGTGCGAAGTAAAAAAAATGTGTGTGGATATCACACCCCATAAGTTTTATGCTAAAAATTATAAATTAGTTCTATCTCCCGTCCCCCTTTATCCTATTTGTAAAAGAAAAAGATCATTTACCCTATTATGCAATTTAGCCTCTGTGCTTCTTAATCAAGAATTTTTTTTTTTTAAATCCACAAGTAAATCCTTATGTCCACAAGTCCTTACTTTTCGTTGTGATTTTCCAATGAAGTCACCTTTGGTACATTCTTAATCTCTTTATTTACTTATTCTTGAGGTTAATTATTTATATTGTCCTTGAATATATCGGCTAGGTTATGATTTTGAGAATAACTTATATTCTATTGTTGCTCTTTTATATTGATTACTCTATAATTTTTATATAAGCAAAAAAATAAACGTATGATTTTATGGCACTAATTCAGTTAGCCCACCCAAGAAAAAAATCCTAGCTCCGCCGTTGCAGGAACAAAAAAAAATTATCAATACTTCATAACGAAGCCTACACTCAATATTCTTTCATGATATAGAAGACATTAAAACTGAAAAAACAAAAAAAAAAAAAAAAAAAAACAACTTGCAACCTCCAGGCGGATGAAAATGCATGTCAAATTTTCTTCGGCTGCTTTTGGAGATGGAAATGGAGGTAAATCCTTGTCCTGCGCTCGACGATATCAAATTCAGCTTATTCCATACGTACTGCAAAAGCCAATAGAAATTTAAATAATTACGAAAGCCATCTTTGCAAGTAAACATACTTTAATCAGTTACAAGATGATCTTCTCTGCATCACAGAGGCGAGACCACATAAACTTAGGTCCCTATATAATCTTCAGAAACTAAAGGGCAATAAACCAAAACTATTCTGCTTTTTCGACACCAACATTGGGATTCCGATGAATGTTTTTACAGTAAAATTGGCAAATCTCCTTTGAAGCCTTGGCTTGCACTCCGAGGATGTACCGCCATACAAATCCATTACAAATATCCCACCTGTCTTTGACAAGGCATCAAGAGCATGCTTGAAATACAGAGCCAGTTCAGCACATTGATGGAGACAACAACTCCTCTAGTTAAAAGCACACACAATGGTCTAGCAAGCAACAGATTCTCATCTTGTGAGGAAGAAGAGTCCTCTTGAAGAGTAGATTCTGATCCACCACTCTCCAAACCATCTCTGTTCTCTCTGAGTGAAATGTTTCTCCTCAACTTCTTGGCTAAAACTTTATTATTTTGGCGTCGATAGGTTGCAAGACATTCCCATGAAAAAGGGACATTCTGCAATATCCATCAGCCCCAACTTTATTTATGTTGCTCTCAGTGCACCAATTTAGCGCTTCAGGGTCCAAATCCAACCCTATAGCAGCCCTTCTTAGGTCAGTCTGGAGCCATTCTGTACTGTCAAACACAGAGCCAGTAATAGGTCTTTAGACACAGTGCTGGGAACAGTGACAGAGAACTTATTGATTTTGTACATATGAAACTGGCCAGTTTGCATCTCCACATAGTGCTGATAGATACCTTTACTATAACAGAAAATAAATCTAGCCACAAGACACCACTCTTGGTTATTTATCATAGTTAGAAGAATGAACATGTACATATATATGACCCCTGAAAACATAAAGAAGGCCAACAAGGTTGTAGAATCACCATCTCTTCTTTCAACTAATCTGCAATAACTCATTAGCACTAAATCTCCACATATGGCAACTGGGGAGCTGTGAATTGAATCACCAACACCTACAGCTTCCGATATGGCAACTAATGTTTTAGTAAACAAACAGTTTTAATGAAAATTTAGTGGCAGCAAGTCCTCAACAAAAGGCACCAAAATGGCAACAATATTGCTTCCAGTTAGAATCCAAATATCGGATAACTAGTTTTAAACCTCTGTTCAGATATGTCAATAAAAAGGACAGTAATATACCTAAGAAGGGCAGTGCCGCAGAAATATTCTTGGGGATGTAGATATAACCTCCCACCCACATACATTGAAAAGAACTTCTGCAAATAGCTTATGTCTCCTTTCGGCAACTGCATATAATATAAACTTCAAATTAATCACATATCAAACCTCCTCTTGAAGAACCACATTAAATCATTCATTTGGGTTTACTTCTAAATAAGATCAGAAACAAAAACAGAATACCACAACTTCAGTACTTAATTTAACTTTTACAAATTTTCAACGAAAACAAATAGCTATACTAAGTATGGAATGAAGAATGCATACCATATATCAAGCCTTTCAGGACTTGGTTTCCAATTGAAGAATTAATCCAGCTTCAGTATGGAATGAAACGCAAGCTATGTGCCATAATGGGTATTTCCTATATTCTTCATTCCCATCTATCATGTGTGCTTTTTGTTATAGAGTTCCTTCAATAGCCTCTGAGCATCGGCCTTCTTCCTGGTCGAGCAAAGGTAGAACTGATGCATAGAACAGTACTTTCACATGGAACATACCCTTTTTCTTTCATATCAGTTAATAATCTTTTTGCCTCAGCCCGATATGACTTTTTCAAATTTCTCTCCAGCTCTGGCTGCCTTGATAGCCTACACCAGCCGCAGATTAGTATGTTGTAAGTTGAAGAGTTAGGAGAGGTCCCTCTTGTCTGCATCTCATTCATAAGCTCCCTAGCTTGGCTCATCTTTTCCGCCTTAGCAAAATCACTAATAAGGATATTATAGGTGCTAGTTTTGGGAACAAAACCCTTGCTTACCATTTCACAATAAAGTCTTATAGCTTCCTTTTTATTTCCCTTCTTACCATGACCAGAAACCAAAGTGTCATACGTAGAAGCATTAGGAACAAAGCCTTTGTTCTTCATTTGACCAAAGAACTCCTCTGCATTTGTCATCAGACCAGCACCTGAAAGTCCCCCTAAAAGAAGATTGTACGTTTCAATATTTGGAGAAACTCCCTCAGCCAACATTTGCGAGTAAGTAGCAAAAGCCCTTTTCATATGACTGCTTCTGCAATATCCACATATAAAGGCATTGTAGGTATCAATATCAGCTAAAAATCCTCCTCCAGTCATCTCTTTCAATACTGAAGTAGCTTTCATGGTCATACCTAGCCTACACAAGACAGTGATGAGATTATTATAAACATCCCGATTGAGGTTAAGCCCCATACATACAAGCTTATGATGCATCTGCAAAATTGAATCAGCTCTTCTACTCTTTGAAGAAGCATCAAGCAGAATTCTGTGAATAAATGATGTAGGAAGAGAACCATCAACCACCATTCCATTTAAGACATCTATTGCTTTTCCTATCTCATCAGTATCACAAAGTCCTCGTATCAGAATGTTACAAGTGTTTGAGTTTGGAATTAAATCTTGACACTTCATCTCATGCCAGAGTTTAAAAGCATTTTCAGTGTCACCCTCTCTGCAGAATCCATTAATCATGGTATTGTATGTGGCACAGTCAGGAGCCAAACCCAACTCTTTCATTCCAGTACAAACAGATTTTGCTTCATACTTCCCAAGCCTCAGTAAACCATTCATCAAGACATTGTATGCAACAACATCAAACCCTATATTTTTCTCCATCATCTCTTGGGCCAAGTTAAGAGCAATTGACTCCTTTCGCGCTTTAAAGTAACCATCCATTAGAGATGTGTAGTTAACACGGTCTAGAAACAAACCCCCAGAAGTCATATCCATAACTAATCCTTCAGCTTCCTCCATCCTTCTGTGCTTTTTCATGTTGTTCACAAAAGCATCAAGTATGAAACTATTTTCCTCCAATCCTCCGATCTTCATTTCATTGTAAAGATCAAGAGCAAACTCTTGTTTGCCTGCCTTAAAACACCCATCAATTAGTGTTGCATACACAAAAGCATTTGGCAGGATATTCTTTTGCACCATCTCCCTTAATAAATTCATGGCCTCACCAAGCTTTCCTTCCTTCATGAAGCCATTTATCATTGACGAATAAGTAATAATATTTGGTAGAACGTGGCGCTTCTCCATTTGTTTAAGTATAGATTCTGCATCATTCATGTCTCCTAAATTGCAAAGCCCATTGATGAATGCAGAGTAGGCGATAGAGTTTGGATCTAGGCCAAGCTTTGAAATTGTTCGAAACAGGTCTTTAGCCTCATCAGCTTTCCCAACCTTAAAGAGTCCAACAATTAAAGCAGTACAGATTACCAAATCAAAAACCAGGCCACGAACAACCATTTGGCTTTGAAGGGCAAGAGCTTCCATGGAAGAGCCTGCTTTAAACAAGGAATCCACAAGGGTAGTGTAGGAGACATGATTAGGATCCACATCCATTTCCTCCATCTCCCTTAGAAGCACTTTGGCTTCTGATAACCTCCCATACTTGCAAAGGCCATTTATAATGGAGCTACAAGTAACTACATCGGGATAAATGCCATTCATAACCATTTCTTCATACAAAGACAGAGCTTCTTCAAGTCCTTGCCGCTTACTGTAAGAACTAATGAGTGTGGTGTGTGTTATAAGGTTTGGTTTCAAATTCTCACCTTCAGTCTGATTCTGGCCATCATCTCTTTCATCTTGAGGGCCTTCTTTGTTTCTCCGCGATCTCAACATCGTATCTATAAGACTCTTGGCCCTTACAAAATCACCCATGTTGCAAAACCCATGTATGAGAGTATTATAAGTAACAATATCAGGCAACAGACTGTCCCTACCCATTCTCCCCATCAATTCAAGTGCCTGACTAACTTGACCAGCTTTGCAATGTCCAGCAATCAAGGTGTTAAAACCTACAACATCCTGTGGAATTCCACCATCCACCAAATTATCCATAACCCATTCTGCATACTCTACCAACCCAATTTGACAAAACCCGTTAACTAGTGTATTACAAGTATACGAATTGATTGATAGATCCCTCTTCACCATTTGGGACAAAAACCCAAAAGCCTGATAAGCCAATCCTTGTTTACAGAAACCCCATATGACAGTATTATATGAAACAGTATCAATTTCACCAGTTCTCAGGAAATCTAGTGCAAGACTCAAGTTTCCCACTTTGCAGAAAGAATGAATCAATATGTTGCGGGTGAAAATATTGGGCATAACCCCACAAGAGAGCATCTCAGCGTAAAGAAAAGATACATGAGAGACGAAACCTGAGGCATTGAATTGGTAAAGAAGTTGATTCCAGAGCGGCAAATCAGGAACAAGGCCATGATTTCGCATAGAATAGAGGGCACCAGAAGCATTGGAAAATCTGCCACATGTCAAGTAAAGTTGTACGAGGGTGCAGAAGAACGATGCGTAGAGGTGGGTCTTGGATGGCGGGATGGCAGAACTGTAGCTTTGAACATGGGAAGGAGCAGAGATGGGTGGGTTTTTAAGGGCCATGGGAATTGATCGACGAAGTTTGGCTGATGACAAGAAGCTCAATGATTCGAACTTACTGAAGAACATCACCACCCAATCAAAAAGGAACTAACACCAAACTTTTCTAGCTTAGTGGGACTTCACATGATCCTACAAAACAAAAGAACAAAACTAGTTAACATGATCATATCGTTTATAATAATAAATTCTATAAGTTCTACGAAGCACTGTGAAATGGTTTTCCAAACATCATGCTAGCAAGTTAACGAGAATTCGGTATAACCATTCTGCACAGGAAACGCAGGCAACTGATCCAAAAACCAAACTCTACCCCTTTTATCAGTGCTTTCATCAATGTAGCCATTTGCAACTCAATACATCAAATAATTCCACTACTTCTTGTCCGCCATTTCACCTCTACAGTTTAAATTGAAAGCTGCCAACCTCATAATTTAGTCCTAACTTAACCAAATCGTCCCACTTACGCTATCGCTCTACTAAAGAACTGAATCTAATCGAAATCAGAAAGCAATGTCTGATTAGTTCCGTTTTCTAAGCAACCAATCAAAGCAAAAACGCTACCAGCCAAACAGCATATATATGAATATATTTACAGAGGACAAAAAAGAAAAATAATCTACCTACTGGTACTGGTTAGGCTCCAGTCGTGGAGGCTGGTGGTGAAACAGGGGCAGTGCTAAGGTTGCAGTCGTGGAGGCTGGGGGAGAAGGGATAATATTCAGGAGGTTGATCACGGCTGTTGACGCGTCGCCGTCGTCGAACGGGAATCCGGTCTCGCTGCTTCAATTTGGGTCGTAATGGAGAAAACCTCTACCCTCCCCGGTTCAATACGTTATCGACACACTTTATGTTTATTTGTATTTATGTTTATTTTCTTTGGAAAAGGATCTTGGGGAGGATCAGGATCATTTTTCTAGGATTCTAAATCGTGTCCGTTCATCGTAAATCTTACGATTAATTTTTCGTTAATTACTATTTATATTTGAATTTTAAATTTTAAATGATTACTGATCCTATGATATAGAATAAATGAACACGATTGCGAAATCCTAGGAAAAGGATCTTATTTTCCATTCCTTTTGCTTTATTTAATCCAAGGTGGAAATAAATGGAGGAACAGTTCTGGTTTAACTAGTGTTTGGCTCGTTTTTAGCTCGTTCAAGTTCAGTTCGTATATTAAACGAATTGAGCTTTGACAATATATTAGGCTCGTTTGAAAAATGAGCCGAGCTTGAGCTTTTGATATGTTGGTTCAATAATTCTTGTGCGGAGCTCGTATCTTTTTAAATTGGATTGCAATTATTTTAAAGTATTAACTTATTATTTAGGCCAGATACTTTTGCATAATTCAAATCAATGGCTTGTTATTATGTTTATTTTGTTAGGTTTTTATGAAATTAAATCGACCTAAACATAAGTAGGGGTGAGTTCAAAAAACCGAAAACTAAAAAAATATCGAACCGAACCAAATCGAATCCCTTTACACTTTATGAATGTATGCCCATTATGTTTCTTTTGTGAAACTTTGTTGCCAAGTTTGAAACTAAGCCTGGTACTTTTTCAATGAGCATACTTGGTTTAATTAGGAAGAATATTCCATTTGTTGGTTTAATTAGGGAGAATATTCTATTGGTTATAGAAGAAAGGATTGGAAAGCTTTGGAACTTGGAAAAACTTCTCTATTTGTTTTCTTTTGAGATGGATACGGTGATCATTTTTCTCTGTAATTGAGGTTGTTGATAGAATATGATTGGTTTATATGATCTTGTATATGTACAACTACATTCCCACTTTCCTCATTTTCTTATTATTAGTCTACCAATGCAAACCTCTTCTCTAAATTTCATATTAAGAAAAGATCAAGTTTTATAAACTAAACTAAAATAACGGAAACTGAACTGAACAAAACCTAACTGAAAAAAAAAAGAAACCAAAAGAAAATCAAACCAAACCAAAAGAAAATCAAGTTTCGGTTCGGTTTCAATTTTTCGAGCTTGTTTAAAGAATGAGTTGAGCGTCAATGAAAAGTTCATGTTTTGTTTACAAACGAGCTTGAAAAAAAATTATCCTAGTTGAGCTCGAGTTTGCAATTACGAGCTTTTTTCGAACTTGTGCTGCTGAGCTTGAACACAAATAGTATCATCTAAGCCGAGCTTAAGCAACTTGGTATTTGTCTCAGCTCAGCTCATTTACACCCGTATTCAAGAGGACAAAACGAGTGTGAAAATCATTTTTAATTTTTCTTGCAAATAGTTTCTAAAATTGATCTATCTCCTTATTTTGATCATTGAGTTTCAAAATCGATCAATTTGGTCCTCAACTTTCACTGTCGACATCAATATTTGCTAAGATTTCATCGATACCTCTGTTATTATGCTGATAAGGCATACATAGAGTCCACAAGTCCAAGTCCGATAATGTACTATTGTACTATTGTACTGTCACAAATTTTATAAAAATAATATCTTTTGTCTGACAAAATTCATAAAAACAAATAAAGAAATTAAAAACCAAATACATAATCCTGGATTCCGTCTCTCTCCGGTCACCCCCATCTTCCAAAATTCCAAATCCAGGAGAAGCACATCGTTCAAAATCGAAGGGCGATTTGGGAGCTCGGCAGAGATTCTCCGGTGACGGAAACTCCCGCGGTTCGTGCCATGTCGGAACGTGGTAACATTGTAAATGTTAATTTGTACTAACTTAATCTGATTTGTAGTTTTTGGGCAAAGGTTGGAATCCAAAATACACCTCCAAGCCATCACAGATATATTTCTCATTTTCTTTCGACTTTGATTAGGAATCACAGAAAAGTATATACATCAGGTTTTCATAATTTGATGCAAGGTGTCCACAACGATAAATTACATAACGACGTTAACCGTGAACTTTTTTTGGGTAATCAACGTGAACTGTGAAATTAAGTTAACAGAAACATGTAACAAAATGGACATGTTCGTAGTGGAGTAAAACAAAATGTCAATTCTGGTATTCTTCCCTAACTTGTAAAAGACTGCCAGACCTAAGCTCTTTTCAGTCTACCCTGAGTTAGCAATGATCGACTATAGCAGTGAGAGCACAGAGTGAATACTGCAAGCAAACGTTTGAAGCATACAAATGGAAAATAGGTTCATAACTTTCAAAAACAGCTTAACACCTGCTTAGTCGAAAACTATGGCTCTTTTGGTCAGGGTAGATATTCAATCCAAGCTCGATGCGAAACCTACCTTATGCATGGAGCTATGCAACACCTACGATGTATGCATTCCATGAATCATGTTGCTGAAAATGTTTCACCTCTTCATATTTTATGTCTCGCCCAACACCAAAACCCTCTGTTCTTCGGATTTCTCCGCTGTCTTGCATCTTCCTCAGCCAAAAATGGACAGACTTAAAGCCTGCATCTTCCATGCAGTCCTTGATCTCCGGCAGCGACCACCTGGGGCAAATGAGCAGTTGTCTCTCAATAATTCAGAATTTACCAGAAATACAAAATATTATCATTAAGTTATAACTGGAAAAACATAACGACTTACAGCCTCCAGCTGTATGAAAATGCATGTCGAATTTTCTTCTGCTGTTTTTTGAGATGGAAATGGAGGCTGATTCTTGTCTTGCGCTCAATTATATCAAATTCAGCTTGCTCCCAAACATACTGCAAAAGCCAATAGAACTTTAAATTAATACGAGAGACATATTTGCAAGTTATTTCATAAGATTCGATCTGCTCTGCGTCATAGAGGTGAGACCATCACATAAACTTAGGTCCCTAGATATATTCTTCAGCAGATAAAAGGCCATATTCTAAAACCTATATTCATCTTCCTATGAAATATTTTAAACTAGCTTGTTGCCTTTTACAGATGACCCACCCTCCATTAAATGGGAGGACGAAAAAAGGAGGACCGACCTTGGGCTCCAGGGATGGGTTTCTTGTGAAGCACAACAGGGTTGGAGAACAAGAAGTGATTTAATGATCCCAAGTCGGGTTAGGAGGACTAGTAGCACAACTCTCAGAAGCTGAACATGAATACACTTAATGAACATAACACATGCTTAGTTTTAATAGTCTGCATTTATGTAGATACTAAAGTGGAAACCTAAAACACTGTAAAATTTTCTCAAAACGAAAAATATACATATACATAGATACATGCATTGTTCATCTCTCTGAGGACGTCAGGACACGGCTGTAGTCGATTAGCCAGTTTCACCGATTGATTGAGTTGTCCAAAATTTGGGTACTTTTGTTTTTTTGTTTTTTTTCTTCCTTGCCTATCAGTTGGTACCTATTGGTTGGTAAATCAGCGGTGCATCTGAAGCGTAAGAAAGTTGGGACATCTAGCACAGAGGATTCCACTAATATATGTCGTATACATATGGCTTATTGGCCTCTGTTTCATATTGTTTTCTTTTGCTTTCATCTTACACCACACACAAACACTGCGATTCTGATGAAGTGCAAATAATGCAACAATAAGTAAGACGTATTTGAAATGAAGTTTTGTACCGTAAAATTGGCAAATCTTCTTTGAAGCCTTAGCTTGCACTCTGAGGATGTACCGCCGTACAAATCCATTACAAATATTCCACCTTTCTTTGACAAGACAGCAAGAGCATGCTTGAGATACAGAACCAGTTCAGCACGTTGATGGAGACAACAACAGCTGTAGTTAAAAGCACACACAATGTCTCTAGCAGGCAACGGATGGTTGCTTAAGTACTTCTCATCATGTGAGGAAGAAGAGCTCTCTTGAAGAGTAGATTCCAATCCATCACTCTCCAAACCATCTCCGTTCTCACTGAGTGAAATGTTTCTCATCTGCTCCTCAGCCTCAGACTTAATTAGTTTGGCCTCAAGAGGTTGTAAGACATTCCCGTGAAAGAGGGATATTCTGGAATATCCATCAGACCCAACTTTATTTATGTTGTTCTCCAAGCACCAGTTTAGCGCTTCAGGGTCCAAATCCAACCCTACAGCAGTCCTTCTCGGGTCAGTCCGGAGCCATTCTGCACTGTCAACCACATAGTTTGCATTAGGTCCTTATACTGTGCTTGAAACTGTGACTGAGAACTTAATTGCTTTTTACTTATGTAATCGCCTATTTGCATCTCCAGTGTCAATAGATACCTAAAATATAATACAAAATAAGTCTATAGCCTATCCGCTGAAATAGTTATTTTATCATAGCTAGAAGAAGCTCGAACATGTACAATTGTGCATATTTATAACCCTGACAACATAACGAAGGCCAATTAGGTTGTAGAACCACCACCTCTTCTTTTAACTAAATCTCTGTATTTCATTCAGTATGACAACTGGAGCTGTGAATCAAATTTCAACTGCTACAGCTTCCGTTATGGAAACTAACCGCACATACTAGAACTGGCGATTGACGTTTTAATAAAAATAAACAAACAATCTTTACGAGAAACCTATGGCAACAAAAGGCATCAAAAAGCAACAGTAAAGCTTCCAGTTAGAATACAAATATCCAAAAACTACTTTCAAACCTCTGTTCAGATATGTATAAAAAGGATAGCAATGTACCTAAGCAGTGCAGTACCACAGAAATCTTCTTGGAGATGGAGAGGTAACCTCCCACCCACATACATCAAAAAGAACTTCTGCAAATAGCTTATGTCTCCTTTCGGCGACTGCACATAATATAAACTTCAAATTAATCACATATCAAACCGCCTCTTGAAAATCCACATAAAACCATTCATTTGGGTTTACTTGCAAGTAAAGATCAGAAACAAAAACAACTTCAAATATTTTGTACAATAGATATACCAGGTTCACATGAATTGGGTTTACTTGTAAGTTTT